GACCGCCCGACTAGCTGCCGCAAGGTGACGGTGGTGTGCCTCGCGATGCTGCTCACCCTCACCACCTACACCATCTTTGCCGCTTCGGGCTACATCACCTTTGGCGGTGAAGTCGCGAGCAACGTGCTCAACTCGTACCCACCGGATGCGCCCGCCGTTGCCGTCACCCGCACCGCCCTCGCCGTCGCCCTCCTCGGCTCGGTCCCGCTTCTAGTTAATCCGGCGCGGCTGGCCCTGGTCTCAATGCTGGAGCTCTGCGTGCCACGGGGCAAGCGCCGCGGGCCACAGATCAGCGTCGCCGGCACAAAGGCCCCGCCGCCGTCCGTCTTTGTGACGGCGCCGCTGGATATCGCAGTCATCCTGATGTTCGACGCGATGATGGTCGCCCTCGCTCTCAACTTCTCCGACCTGGGACAGATCGTTAGCCTCTCCGGCGCCACCACCGGCGCGTCACTCTTCTTCATCGTGCCCGCCGCCGCCTACCTCCTCTCCTCCAAGCGCGTGGTCGATTGCGTCTCGATCCCCGCGCTGCTGTCGCTGGTCATGATCGCCATTGGAGCTACCGTAATCTACCTGCACTTCAGCTAGAGGTGACAGCGGCGCGCGAGAGGTTTAATTTCATCATGCGGGGAGAGATGTGGGGGGGGTTCTGCACAAACTGTGGAGTTCTGCTTCTAGCAGAGCCTGGGGAGCCTCTGCGCTCTCTGCACTCTGGGGCTGGCGGAGGTCGAGTCACGAGTGCGTCACCGTCAGCCCGGCGGGGTGTGCATGTGGATGTGCGCCCCCGAGCCCGACCCGACACTCAAACGAGTCGACGATTCCTTGTGCCATAAATAAAAGAACGATAAATAAAGAGCCGATTGGCACTCTCTCGCTCCACATGCAAACAGTGGGGGTGTGCTGCACACACACACATGCAACCCACCCAAAAAACTCTGACAGGACCACAGACGTGTGCGCGGGGCCGCCTTGCAGAGGGCTCGCCCGCCCACCACAAGCGGGAGTCGAGACAGTACGGGGTACGCCAATAAAATAGAGAGCAACAATAGGACCGGGCGGCTTCAAACGTCGAAGCCGAGAGCGAGCTCACCTGCGGCGGCAGAGGGCTCGATCATAAACCACCGAGGAGCGTGGCTTCGCCGCACAAGCAGCCCAAACCCCTCCTGCCCCGCCCGCCCCGCGCCACGGGGGGCCGCTACTCTCTACGGCGGGCGCGCGCCCTGGTGGAAGGCAAACAGCACGGGCCAAAAGGCGAGCAACGGCCAGCAGTTGTCGAGCAGCTGCTTGGGCGGCGGCAGGCTGAAGCCGGCGAGGCTGGCCTCGCCGCCGCCGCCGCCCTCGCCGCCACCTCCGCCACCTCCGCCTCCGCCGCCTCCGCCCGCAGGCGCGAGGACGTAGCAAGCCTCCTCATCGCACGCCTCCCAGCCGGAGGCGGTGGCGTACCTGCGGGCCACGGCGTCGAGCGGGAGTTGGCGGAGGATAGCGAGGCCTCCGGGGCGATGTGTGTGTGGGGGAGAGGGGGGGGGGGTGTGAAGAGGGGGGGGGCTGCACTGTGGCGTTGGTCTCTCGCGCCTCAGCTCGCCGGCCACGACCTGGCGCGAGAGCTCGACCTCCAGGGACGGGTCGACCCCAAACGCCTGGCGAGATGAGCCGAGGTGAGCCGAAATATCTCGGCTAAACCTCGGAGCATCTCGGAGCGGC